AAAAAAAATATCACTCAGAAATAATGATTATTTTGTGAGCGATATTATTTTGCTTAGAAATATCACTCAAAGTTAGATTGCAGCCGTCCTACGCGGAATTTTACAAAGATTTAAATGTGCTCTTGTAGGTAGAACCACGGAGAACATATCCAGTAAAGAAAAATAAATAAAAAAAAAATAAAAAAATAAATGTTCTTAGTAAACCGCTTAAAAAAAACAAAAACAACTTTTTGTATAAAAAAACAGTTTCTGCGGGAATCAAATTCTTGCTTACAGCTCGGTGGACAAACACACTAAGTGCAATAGTTCATAACATCTTGTTAAGTCCTAAGGTTGATACAATGTTTTGTATTTATGCATACCTCTTGTGAACTGAAACCCGCGTTTTAAAAAGTTTATACAAAGAAATCACTTTCTTTTATTAACTCGATGTGTGCTCCGTGGTTCTACCTACAAGCACAAATTTAAAACTTTGTAAGATTCCGTACAGAACGGCTGCAATCGCACTGATATTTTTTTTTGCTTACAAAATAATCATTAAATGAAGATTTTTATTTTTTCACTTATAATGATTACGGTCCCTGCTATAAACCCCACTCACTTGTAGTCCGCCGGTGGCTTGAACTCGGGGTTCACCGTCTGCATCTTGACAATCAGCTGGTGACGCTGTTCCTCCAGTCGCTTCCTGTAGCGAAACTCACGGGTGTTCAGCCGCTTGCCATCAGAACTGTAAATGGGCTCCGGCGAGGGGGACCTGCGGGCGAGAGGAGCAGAGGGAAGAGGCGACTTTGGTGAGACGGATCTTGAGCTCATCGGCGAAAGGATGCTCTATTGGCGCTAGACTTAGTGATCTTAACCTACGTACTAACAAATAACTTTTATCGAATATGCTGGAAGTTGCAAATCAAATTCATTAATCAAGTGGTTCATTAGCATTAGCAGAAAGTAATTATTCGCTGGGAAATTGAGAAAAGAAGAATTTTGATTAATTCGTTCGATTCGGTAGCTGTTTCTATTTCGTTTCTGTGTGTCTGTGTCTGTCGCACCCTGGATTTCTTTGCGAGAAACCCGAACTACCGGGACGCTTAGTGGAAGAGAAGAAGAGTTGACATTAATGAAAATGTAGAATCTATTTCGGTTATCGCCAGGCGCTTACTTATTTGTTGCCCTTTTGGATGGGATCATTCAATCGATCACTGATTTGATCGCTGTCTCTAGAATCCCTTGAAGAGTATCATTAGTTAAAAAATATATTTTCGGTAATCAAATTAACTACAAAGCCCAGCCCATTCGGTTAGCCTCCAGACAGCCTTTGGATTTATGGGAAATTTTCGCCTTTAGTTTAAGAATTAGTTAGGATTTACACGCGCGGCGTCTTTGATTTAAATACACGACTTCCTTGTTAATACTAAATACAGTAAATGTCGGTTATGTAAAGAATTCTGATTGCCATTATTAAATCTCATTTTTAGAACATTTTAAAACATCTTCCCAACCGATATCTACTGTATTTAAAAATGAATTCAGAGTGACACATCACCCAGTGAATCTTAAGATAATAGAGATATTTGTGGAACCCCGCAAATCAATGGCATGCCACAATGAAACCTGTTGGAACCATGGACTCATCCTTCCGGCCGTCTTTTCCGGGAGGGTCATTGCTGCTCAGTGGGTGTCTGGTTACACGGGCGAGACCTTTGATTGAGAGACTCAGTGGGGGAGAGAGAACTGTATCAAACCTTTCTTCCGGATTCTGCGTGATGCCCAGGTCGCCGGTTCGCAGCTTGCGGCTGATCTCCTCGATTTGAAATTGAACTGCAATTAGAAGGCGTTAGAAAAGAAAGAAGAAAATCGAGCGCAACCCCGACATTAGTAAACGTCACATGCTGGTTTTCTAGAGAATTGAAGAGATATCAATTAAATGGGGGGTCAAGTGGGATTTTGTGGCTATTTGGACTTGTTTCGCTTAGTGTGTCCGCTCCTAAACTAACTGAAAATGCTGTGAGCGTTACAATTGAGTTAGATCATTAATTACTTGAGTGGGGGTTCAATTTGATTAGTTAAATAGCGCATTAATCTCTGCAAAAATAAATATAAGCCGAACAGCCATATAAATGTTCTGTATACGAGTTTTCTAGCCGATTTGGAATGCAACTCATGTCGTATCGTTTCGTATCGTTTGTGTGCCACGCCGGAATCCCTTCAAAAAGAGAACGAGAGATTATTATAAGTAGCTCAATGCCGTTTGTTGTTGGATTCAGATTTTAGATTGGTTTACGATCTCTGCACCAGCTGCTCGTCCCCGACGTCTGATTCTGAAGTGTGGCTCTCTCAGTCCCTTTCTCTCAGTTTTCATCCTTAATTTGTTGTCATTAGACTTAGAACTAGTTGTAGTGCTTACAAGCTAACTTAGTTTGCAGGATCAGCTGCGATTTGGGGCATCGTATTACCTAGATAGGCCTCCTGCTGGGCCGGGTCCAAAGTGGAGGGCAGTATGGTGGGCATGCCGGGTATGAAGGTCTTGTCGTTCTCACTGCCGCCCCAGCGCGACTTGCGCTTCCTCTTTCGCTCCGCAGCGCTGTCCACTGAAAAAGGAACATAAGTTAGTTAAATGTTCATAGTAAATACTATACCGCGAATTCTTAGGAACAAGAGGATTTATTTGTGTGGATCATACATAACTTAACTAAGAAACCTGATGATATATTCTATATTGATTTTTCAAAAGCCGCGAATTCTTTAGAACAAGAGAATATGTTTTCGTGGATTATACATCTGTACCAAATATTATACACAAATAACACCCTTGACCTTAAAAATTCGCGACGGGTCGATGAGCTGTGAAAATTGTAATAATCGTCTTATTTAAAAATCAATTTGTTTCTTTGGGTAACCTAAAAGCCGAACTGATCTACTTGAAACCCATTTGACTTAGGTCGTTTGGGTTTTGGGTATTTGTGTTTGGGTAAAAATTGACTCATTTACCCAAACCCAAACGACCCAAGTTAAATGGGTTTCAAGTAGGTCGCTTGGATTTAAGGTTTGACAAACAAGGCAGGTTACTTGTGCAGGGCTCTAGTAAATAGGGAGATATTAAAATTCCAAACTTACTTGCGTTATCAAAAGCCCCATTGCTGTTGGAGTCGTTGCTGTTCTGGTTGTTAAAGAACGAGGCGAATCCCTTGCTGCCTCCCGCGTTGCCCATCAGCTCCTGGATGGTCTGCGAAAGGTCGAACCGCGGTTCCCTTGACTCCTCCCTAATGGTTTCCAATCCCTGCGGCTGTCGGTCGAAGAGCGAGGGAATTCTCGGCTGATCGTGATCCTGGTTGAGTGAATTTCGACTGTTCGACGTGTCGAAAGGGTTAACATGTGTGCGTTCCCTGCTGCTCCTTTGCGACGGCTGATCTCTCTGGCCACCCCGATCATTTCGCCGCCGCTCGTAGCTGCGACTGCGGGAGCGGCGACGACGACTGCGGTCGTAATCATCGCCCCCTCGTCCGCCCCGCGAGTTGCTGCGCCTCGAGCGCGAATCACGATCCCTGTCCCGCTTGCGTTCACGATCCCGGTCCCTGCTGCGGGACCGCTTCCTCCGGCGGTCGTGGTCGTCGTAGTTCCGCGACTTGCTGCGATTCGAGCGGGAGTCCCGGTCACGGTCGCGATCCCTGTCACGCTCGCGATCACGGTCGCGGTCTTTATCGCGGTCATCCCGGCGCTTGCTGTCCCGGTCTCGGCTGTCCCTGTCCCTGGAAGATGAAAAAATCGGTTATTATATAAATAAATTTATTAAATTTTTAGGTTAAGGTTTTTATAGCTTAATAGTAAATGATCAGGTATATATATTATCTTTTAAAGTTCTATGTTTTAGTGCTTTACAGTAAAAGTTAAAAAAGTTTTGAAACTACTGGAAATTACTTAAGGATCCTCATTTATCATTTAAACTTACGAAACGATTTCAAGAAGGTTTCTTTATTGATATACATATGTATTACCGAGAAATGTATATAAAGGTAAGGTAATATCAGATCGGGATAAGAAGTGGTAATTATGCTGATTAATACGATAAAAAGAGGCTTCTTATTGTCTGTCTAAAATAGGGGAGGATGACATTCAAGCTGGACATCTTTTTTGTATGAGAAAGGACATCGATCGTGGAAAATGTGTATACTAAAGGGGTATTCTTGTCACCTACTTTAAAGGCTATTTTTAATGGTAAATTTATGGGTGAAAATAGCTTTTCCCCCTGAACACCCACCTTCTCTTCCTGTCCTTGTCCCGCTCCTTGTCCCTGTCCTTGTCCTTGTCCCTGCTACGATCCTTGGAGCGGGAGCGCTCCTTATCAGCGGCTCTGCTGCTGCCGCCGTTGGCAGAGGCGACGACTGCGGCTGCTCTGGCCACCGCCAAGGAAAGTAAGTCCGGCGGCGTTGCGCTCATGCTTTCCTCACAATTTTCACACCCACAACTCGCTAATTACAGCCGCGCAAAAGTCAGAACAATTGAAAACACACGTTAAAATGTAAAAACCGATTTTTTCAGTACTCGGCGTTGCGTGTGAAAATTTTTGTGGCACGGAACGAAACGAAAATGGCGACGTGGTTCAGTGTTGGAAAAGGCAGGCTATTAGTGTTGGGCATGGGTAGCTGTTACTTGTCACAGGTCACGAATGTGGATCCAGTCTTTATTTAAATATTTAAGTTATTCACTTTATATAGCCCTATATTTTATTTTATGTTAAATATTTCAGTAATTGATAAACTTATAAAAATGCGTTCACAAATTACAATTTATAAAAATATTATACAGACAGCCAGTCTCTTCGCATACTTTGAGCTAAATGTATTTGTAACCAGTAAACCAAGTGCTAGCAAGATTCTGATTTTTTTATTTACTTTTTATCTGAGGTACTTGTTTTTCCGAACGATTTTAAATGTTCTCACTTCTCACCCGTGACTGTTCCCAGCCTTAGCCAACACTGTTTTTGGGATTTCCGAAACGCGTTAGTACGTTTTCGGTTGCACGTGTGCGGTGTTTTGTTTTGCTCCATGAGCTCGATTTGATTTATCCGGTAAAACTCGAATTAAAAACCATGGTGGCCAAGGGGAAAAAGGCCAGCGCCGATGCGGTTTACGCCAAGAAGACGGTCAAGTCGTCGAACAATCCGTTCGACAGCACGGCGGCTCAGTCGAGCAATCGCGGCCGAAATCCGAATCAGAATCCCTTCGATGTGCATGTAAACAAGGAGAAGTTCCAGATTCTGGGCAGGATCTGCAAGCATGACAGGGGAATGCCGGGCGTCTCGCGGGCGAAGGCTCTCCAGAAGCGAGCCCAAACGCTGGGGCAACAGTTCGTGGTGAAGCACAAGACGAATCGATTCAGGGACAACCGGATTGGCAAGCATTTGAGTGGCGATCAGCTAACCGAGTCCGTGATGAATGCCCGCTACTTGGCCGAGAAGATGTCCCAGGTGCGGTCCAACCAGAAGGCGGAGAAGTTCAACCTCAACGACGACGAGCTGCTGACGCACAGGGGCCAAACGCTGGAGGAGATCGAGCAGTACAGGGATGAGCGCTCCGACGACGAGGAGCTGGACGACGAGCGACTAGATGGTATAACTAAATGATTACCCAATTGAACCCTTCAGTTAACTACCCTTTTTTTTCTAGCCGAGTTCACATCTGCTGCCCACTTCGGTGGCGATGGCGACACTGCCCAGGATCGCCAAACGGCCATCGATGAGATGATCGTCGAGCAAAAGCGCCGCAAGAACGAGATCGCCAAGGAGAAGGACGAGGTGTTCGATCTCACCGAGAAACTGGACGCCAACTACAAGCTGCTGCTGCCGCTGGTGGCCAAGGCCACCAAGGATGAGCAGGACGCCAAGCCGCCGCCGGATGCCTACGACAAGCTGCTCAAGGAGATGATTTTCGAGCCGCGCGGCAGTGTCACCGATAAGCTAATCAATCCCGAGGAGCTGGCCAAACAGGAGGCCGCCCGTCTGGAGAAGCTGGAGAACGAGCGACTGCGGCGGATGCGGGCAGAGGGCGAGGAGGATGAGGAGTCCGCCGCTGCACAGCCCAAACATCGTTCGGCCGATGACCTGGACGATGGTTACTTTATGGCTGGCGGAGATGTCGAGGAGGACGATACGCTGGCCTACGATTTGGATGGCAATCTGGGCACCCATCTCAATGGGAAAAAGGAAGCTAAAGCAGAGGAAAACGAAGAGGATGAAGAGGGTGACGAGGAAGAGGAGGAGGAAGACTCCGATGAGGAGAGCGAATCAGAGGTCGATAATCTGAGTGATCTCAAGGAATCAGAGAGCGAATCCGAGGCGGAAGAAGCACCTAAGGCTAGCAAAAAGAAGTTGAAAAAATCCGCTGATTCATATCCTGCCTCCCTGGACACCAGCATTCCATTCACCATCAAAATGCCAAAGACCTACGAGGACTTTACCGAACTCCTTTCCAAACACGCTGCTGCCCAGAAAGCCACCATCGTTGAAAGAATCATCAAATGCAATCATCCCAAATTAGAAGGCGTCAACCGCGAGAATGTCGTCAAGTTGTACTCCTTCCTGCTGCAGTACATCAAGGATTTGTTTGAGGATGCCAGCGAGCAAGACATTCGTGATCACTTCCAACTGCTCTCGAAGCTCATGCCCCATTTATACGAGCTAACCCAATTGAATCCCGAACGAATGTCCAATACATTGCTAGAGGTGATTAAAGAAAAGTATGCAGAGTTCAGGAAAAATCACAAGATGTACCCTTCACTGGACACTCTAATTTACTTCAAACTGGTGGGCAACTTGTACTCAACATCGGATTTCCGTCATCCTGTGGCCACTCCTTGCTTCATATTCATGCAGCACATCCTGTCCAGAGCGCGTGTGCGAACGCGTCAGGAAATATCCATGGGCCTGTTCCTGGTCACTGTGGTCCTGGAGTTTGTGTCCCAATCGAAGAGACTGCTGCCTGCTGTTTTCAATTTCCTGCAGGGCATTGTGCACATGTCCATACCCAAGCGGGATGTCGAACAGTTGGAAATCACGCCGCCCTTCGAGCGCGATGGTCCTTTGAGCAAACTGCTGGCACTTCCTGCTAGCAAGGAATGCAAGAAACTTGAGCCCCAACAACTGCAGGCTGTCGACTTGGTCACCCAAACGATAACATCCGATTTTAAAGTTCGCGCACTGGATACAACGCTTCTGCTGATAAAGGAAGCTTTGCAATTAGTGGAGGAGCATGTAGGTGCCAGCTACCTCGCCCAACCCTTCCTAAGATTGCTCGCCCGCCTGTCACTCGATTCCTATCCCGATCATGTGCATCTGCACCACCAGGAAGCCAACCAACTGGCGGAGAAGCTGGCTGCGCAAAAGATGAAACCCTTGGCTCCGGCAGAAAGGAAACCCAAGGCACTCAGGCTACTGGAGCCCCGATTCGAGGCAGTCTACGATGACAAACGGCGACCAAAGATGACCAAGGACAAGGAGGAGCGGGCGAAGCTGCTGCACAAGATCAAGCGCGAGAAGAAGGGCGCCATCCGGGAGATTCGCAGGGATACGGCCTTCGTCCAGGAGCTCAAGCTCAAGGAGACTCTGCAAAGGTGGGTGTTCTATTTATGGCGAAAATTAATTATTCTAATCCTCTCTTTTTTCTACAGTGACAAGGAGCGCCACGAGAAGGTCAAACGCATCTACCAGGAGGCCTCCATGCAGCAGGGCGAGCTCAATGAGCTGGCTCGCGCCAAAAAGAAGAAGAAGTTCTAGACGTCTTCCAGTTAGGTTGATTTTGAATTAGTTGTAGCTAGACCTTACACTAAGCTGAGAGTAAAGAGCATTGTTGCTTATATTTTAATATCACAAAATCGACCTTCACAATTGTATTTAGTACTGAGAATCTAGGTAACCTAGATTATGGACAAACAACAGGGTGGGTCGATTGGAATTAGAGCCCTGCAGGAATGGATTCAATGAATTATTTTGAATTTTTTTGTTTTATATGAATGAATTAATTTGAATTTTGAGTTTAATAGAATTGAATAAATGAATGACATGAATTTCGAAATAATTCAAACGACACTTTCGTTTGAAGAAGAAAGGGCCATAATTTTGTGATTAAATCGGCATGAATTTTATTTTCCAAGCAGTTAACATTGATTTGTTTAAAAAGGTTGTTCTCAAAAGAAAGCACAAAAAATATCTGTCATATTCAAAAAATTCATAAAAATTATTCATTCATTCAATTCGAAATGAATTAGAAAAACATTCAATTTATTTCACATAGAATTGATTTAAACAAATCAGAAATTTCATGGCATACTATGATAAAACAAAAATTGGATGATTTACGCAGGGCTCTAATTGGAATGGAGAGTGGAATACAAATGAAATTACTAAACAATCTGTTAAAAGTTGTAATATGTTTTTCTTAATATTTATAATAATAACTCTCACCTTGAAGTAATAGTTTTTGAACTGAACAACATTTAATCATTTCAAGAGTATCCATTTTACTTAAAAGAAAGTTCAAAGACCTTGTACATTTTTTTAAAGCTACGATTAGTTTGATAACAAAATAGACCCACCCTAATGTATATTTGGAAACCTATGTGCCTACGCTTTCTTGCCCGAGATTTGCCGGCATCGCAGCGTAGCTTGTTCCACCGCTCCAGACACAGCCGCCCGAAAACCTGCAATCGACATCAAAGGTTGAATTATAGGCGATAAGCCAGTGCGTCATCCGCGTCATCATCGCCACTTACCTGACAGCTCGAGTTGTCTGAGGGCTGCTGCCGTCGAACCCGCCGGACTTGTGACCCCATCCTTTAGCTGTCCGGGATGCAGGCCACTGTCGCGCACCATGTGACCAGCGCCCAGGACGGTTTGTGATGCCAGGCGGTAGGCCAGATCCCTGGGCATTCCCATGTGTACGGCTCCGTCCGCCAGGGCCTCGATCATCACGAACACATAGGCCGGTCCGCTGCCACTGAGAGCAGTGACTACGTCCAACTGCGATTCATCCACCGCCTCACAAGTGCCCACGGATTGCAGCAGTTTCTGGGTGACCTCTGCATCGGCATCGGTGGCCTGGGATCCCCGCACAAAAACCGAACAGCCTGAGCAAACCACTGCCGGCAGATTGGGCATCACGCGGATCACACGCGCCTGCGGAGATAAACTGGATTCGATGGTGGACAACGTGATGCCCATGGCCACGGATAGAAATAGTTTGCCGGAACTAAGGGGCTGAATCTCCGATAGAACCGAGGGAACCACTTGAGGTTTCACCGACACAAAGACCACATCCGATTGCTGGACAACGGGTTCATTTTTAACCACTGTCTCCACGCCCAGGGATTGAAAGGACTGCAGGGAGAGCTTATCCGCCGGATGGACACTGGCTATCAGGGTGCTGGGCTTGGCAAGGCCTATGAATTGTAATATAGTTATTAAAATTTATTTGAGTGGTGAAATCTTAGGGGTCATTTAGTGATAGAAATCGGAATCCTTTTCATATAAAATAATACTATGTATACAGCGATTTGACATGTATTTTCATCAGATTTCTTATCTTTTATAACCCTGGAATCGTGACATGGTAAGATAAAGAAAAATGGAGCTACTTATAAACTTTCTCACCTGCTGCTAGGAACCCTTTGGCCAAAGCCTTGGCCATATTGCCACCCCCCAGGAATCCGATCTTTCCGATCGCCGACATTCTGTTTTAATGGAATAATTCTGCGGACAGAGTACTGCACTTTGTGCTGGCGGATCGGCAACTGTTTGCCCGCTGTCGGCGATGACCGAAAACAGCCAGCGGGGACTGATAAGAAATCGGTCTCAGTCCGCCCCCTCAGCCCCCTGCGATGTGCGAACAACAAACCCAGCGAACTGGGCTTATCAGGGGGAGTTCCTGTGTGTTGGTTTCATTACGACTGCGGGTCAACCAATAATTACTAAATGAATTCATATAAGTAATAAAAAACTATTGTAGGTGTTACAATGATTTGTTTTTTTTTAATCACTTGTTTTATTAAAGGTTTGAACCCTATAACTTTCAGTGATTCAATGTCGAATATAAATATTTTTTATTGGATTTAATGTAGAAATTAAAATTTCCATTTTAAAAAGTATCCATTTAACTCTTTTCTTTTAATTTACTATATATTAAGTTACTTTTTAGATCTTCGTATAATTTTGTTACCCTATAATCGCTAAATTATACTACTTTAACCGCAATTGTAAAGCCTTTATCAGTTAGAACGGCTCATGACTGAAATTCATTCACCCATTAGTAGGTGTGACGAAGTCCAAATTATGCGAGATGTCGATGCCCTGTAATCCCTGTAATCCCTGTAATCGCACATTTTGTTGTTCTTAGCTCTAGTCCCATTTAAATCTAGCAAGTCTATTTTGTAATGTTTATTTACCAAGTTTCAAAAACATTGCGCACTTAAAAAGATAACGGCCGTTATCAGTTGATTGTGATAACAGTGAAGGGGAAAAAGTTTATTAGGACAAAGAAGTGCTACAATGAAGATGTGTAGGCGAAGGCCTAAAAATTTCCTACCGAATAAATAAAATGTTTGGTATATCCCATATTACAGTATAAAAAATTAGGCAATTATGATTAAAATTAAACTGTTTTATTTTGAAGTATAGAGTTCTTGAATTTTTATTTTAGCTTAAAGCTCATAGAAATTCTGTAGCTTAAATTAAGTTCGAGTAAAAACAGAAAGAGGCCTTTCAAATTTGAAAACCTCGAAGTTTTTGGGAGGCTTACTGACAGCTGACTGTACCTGAAAATCCTTGCACTGCTTGCCCGTAGACTGGGGGTGGTAACTGTATCCATTTCATTTCAGCCCCTCTTTAGCTTAGCTCCCCTGAAAGTTTAGCTGAGACACGATCCCCAAAAAGCATTAAACTCTTTTACCTTTTTCCCGCTACTCATCTCTCTCTCCCTCTGTTTTTTCTCTCTTCCTTTTGCAGTCGTCCTGCGTTCGTTGAGTCCTTCCTCTCACACACACTCGCAAAACTGGCATTGTTGTTGGCGTTTGTCATTGTCCTTTTCGCGTTCGCTTTTGCTTTCGCTTTCGCACTCGTTTATTTAGTTCAGTGTGTTCAGTTGCGTCCTGGCTTTATATCCTGTCGCTATCCTTTGCTTAGCGCTTGTTTCAGTTTGAGGTGTTCAGTGCATTTGAGCGGCTGCAAGTAAAAACATAACTGTGCTTCAGAACAAGCCATACATATAAATTTCTGGCAATTAGTGGATGGTGTTCGGTAGATAAGCTATCCGCAAGATCGAAACTGTGCGCGTGCGGGATATATTCGGGATATATATCCTTGGAGTAACAATTGCCGCCTCTCGCTAAACCGGCTCGGATCGTAACCCTTTTTTAACTCTCCATCGGGGTTGTGCGTCTGCACTAAACGGCTTCAAAATTAACTACTCAAAGTACCACCACAACGCTATGTCCTTATCGGCCATAGCAAAGGTAAGCAGCTAATCCCAGCGTCATTGGCGCCTTGATTGTGCCATTTGGCAAAAATCCATTCCCGCAATATCGCTCATACCACGCGGCCAGCAATCTCTGACTTGGTTGTTGGTCTGGGTTCCACTCATACTCCGCCACCGATTCGCCGATTTGGGATTGCGCAGAACAGCAAGCTTTCCTCCCTCGCGTACACACTGCAAAAGTTTTCAAAACAGGGTTGCCAGGGCTTGGCGAAAAGATCGCAAAAAGGATATGGATCCTAATTGCCAAGCAGTACTCGAACCTTTTTGGGATGAATGATGAAATAATTTATTTAGTCGACCACTTCATTTGTTTTTAAATATTTGGTAGATTTTTTTTTTTTTATAACTTTAAAAGTTTAATAATTTATATTTAAATAATTTAAGATATCTTACATCTATAGTTGAAAATGGTATATCATTTTTCAAAGCTATAAACCTTAAAGCTTTTTTAATTCATATTTTTAAATCTCTGGACTTAACCAAAACCAACCACAAAGGATTTCTTTTTAGCCAAGACTCGACAACCCTGGCCTAGGCTTTTGACTCAAACTCCAAATGGCGAACTCAACGACCAACCCCTAAAAAAGCACACCCTCTCGAAGCGAATGGCGAAACTTCTGAGCCAATTTTCTCTTGAGCAGGGGTCCCGTGTCCTTGGCGTTGCCTTCGCGCTGCGGACTCAGGACAACGACAACTTGAATAAGGTTAATGCCCCTAGCCGACCTTGGGGTGCGACACAGTTCGGGACTCGGGAGCTCGGGAGCTCGGGAGCTTGGGACCTCGGAACGGAACTCGCTTCTCGGATCTCGGATGTGGAACTTCGGACCCATCGTCCTCACTTTCCCATGGGTTCATTGAACTTTTAGGGAACTCATTATGCTTTCCGTGTATAGAGTTTCGTGTGGGTGGCACGACGATAGGCTCTACTGGGTTGATTGGCCAGCTGTGTGTATATCATTTTAGGGCTCGTCCATTGTGTCGTGTATAGGGTATGGGGCCTTTGGTATAGGGTATAGGGTCCGCTGCCCCCCCCGGACCGCCCGAAGCTCTCCACTGTTGCTCTGCAGCTGTTGTCGGGCGCTATTTTTGGTGCAAGTCGAACTTGACGCCGTGCTTTTTTGTCAGTCTGTCGCTGGCGTTGCTCCTGTCTGGACACCATGAATCATGTGGGTATATCTATCTACTGCCATCCGAAAGCCTCGGAGAAAATCTGTGTTATCTGTGAATTGGCTGCGATAAGTGCGTAATTGAGAGCTCTAGTTTGTCGTGGAGTAAACATATAAAAAACGGCGTTAAATGCAAATGATTAAACCAGTTTGACTAGGCGACTAGGGAACCCAACTCGTTATCAGCGGCAGGCAACCTGTTCTGTGCTATTTGTGTGTTTTTCTCTTCTCAAAATTAGAATAAATAGATTTCGTAATAGAGTTGGTGGGCCCGTCACGCCATTCGGCGCTGGCCAGTTGCGGTAAAATGTCTACTAATCCCGAACCCATTGTTTCCTCCTCCGCCGCACAGCCAATACTCTACTCGTATTGGCGCAGCTCGTGCTCCTGGCGCGTGCGCATTGCCATGAACCTGAAGGAGATACCCTACGACATCAAACCGATCAGCCTGATCAAGTCCGGTGGCGAGCAGCATTGCAATGAGTATCGCGAGGTCAATCCCATGGAGCAGGTGCCTGCCCTGCAGATCGGTGAGTTCCCCTGATTTCTCAGGTTAAACCTCCCTTTACATCTCATTCAACCATTCCCAGATGGACACACCCTCATCGAGTCGGTGGCCATAATGCACTACCTGGAGGAGACCCGTCCTCAGAGACCGCTGCTCCCACAGGACGTCCACAAGCGGGCCAAGGTGCGCGAAATCGTCGAGATCATCTGCTCCGGCATTCAGCCTCTGCAAAACCTCATCGTGCTCATCCACGTGGGCGAGGAGAAGAAGAAGGAGTGGGCCCAGCACTGGATCACACGTGGCTTCCGGGCGGTGGAGAAGGCGCTGTCCACGTCCGCGGGAAAATACTGCGTGGGCGACGAGATCTCCATGGCCGATTGCTGTCTCGTACCGCAGGTGTTCAATGCCCGAAGGTAAACTTGATATTGAATAATGTCAAAGAAGTCAAGAAAATGAGTGATGAACAGGGAAAATTATTAAAAGAGTGTATAGTATTTTATTTATTTATTTTATTTATTTATTTTATTAATTTAAACTTATATTTCATTTCAAAAGTTTGAGTTATAGGATAGTGTTCTTTGTAAACAAGTTGGAAAAATGATTGATAAAAAGAGAAGAATTGTAAAAGAGTGAATAATATTTATTTTATTTTTTATTTATTTATTTTATTAATTTAAACTTATATTTAATTTCAAAAGTTTGAGTTATAGTATAGTGTTCTTTTTGAACAAGTTAGAAAAATGATTGATGAAAAGAGAAAAATAGTAAAAGAGTGTATAATATTATAAAAAATTAAAACTATTTACATTTCTACCGTTTTATTATTAAAAATCATTTCTTTTAGATAAAACTTATATTTAATTTTAAAAGTTTGAGTTATAGGATAGTGTTCTTAATAAACAAGTCAAAAAAATAAGTGATAAAAAGAGAAAAATGGTAAAAGAGTGTAAAATATTTTGAAAATCAAAACTATTTATATTTTTTACGTTTTATTTTTAAAATTCTGTTCTTTTCCTTCAAATTTATATTTAATTTAAAGTTTGAGGTATACGATAGGTTTCTTTTTAAACAGGTCCTTACTAACCATCCCATTTTTGCAGATTCCACGTGGACTTGCGCCCCTATCCCATTATACTGCGCATCGATCGCGAACTGGAGAGCAATCCCGCATTCCGGGCGGCCCACCCCTCAAATCAACCGGACTGTCCGCCGGAGCTGCCCAACAAATAGAATTTTCCGACGACAACTGCAAAGCGCCGTAAGACGAAAAAGTGAATTGCAGTTCGTAACTAAAGGCACAGGACAAACTAAGAACTTAAATCTGATCGGTGGGCAGGTGGATAAGATGGGATAGGATGGCGGAGGGATTGAAATTGGAATTGGAGAGATATTGAGGGCGAAGCTGGCGAGGATTCCATTAAGCAGAAACAGTCGGATGTGATTTAAGAAATTGCTAACAGCATTTAAATATGCATAAATGCATAAAAATACTATCGATAACATAACGAAATTCCTCACACGAAATTCAAATGCAAAATTCTCAGAAACGGAACGAAAACTAATAATAAATTCTTCAGATTCCCTTAGTTTGTCATTGTGAACATGATCTAAAAGATGAACTCATATATATTAAATGTAACTTATTTTTATGCATTTTATTTAGGCTAACAAAACATAACAAATTCAAGGAAAACTCATGACGAAAAGCAAAATTCAATTCAGGGATTTAAAAACAAAAACAAAAGAAAACCAATTTTAGAAACACTATCGAAGATATACAAATATAAATGGTGTATATGTGTGTAGAACTACTTCATGTCAAAGTTGGGCAAATGCTAAACAAATCGTTCACAAAGTACAAAACTTCAGTCAACCAATAAGTAAACTAAATGAACATACAAACTATACACTAAATCGAATAAATCCTAAGTAATTTACACGAACTAAGCAACAGCATCGATCGAATCCCGAAAGATCGATACTGTATCACCTATTTGATGGTTCTAAATGTCGCAATGCCTCTTTGATACCACGAAAGCATACATAACTAACGAAGTATTTCCCTCAACTCAATGCACATAGACGAATGATAAAGCCAACCAATTAAGTGCACAGTAATTTTATTAGCAAGTCGATGTAAATTGGATCGTGAGAGTCTTTTCACAACCCCGTACGAGTAGATGTAAGCCTGCCGATGCCAAGTACATACACATACTTACTATCCTGCACGACAGTACAATACTACGAATCGAAGGACGAACGCCGGTAGTCACATCATACAAATATGTAATAATATAGGACGAGCTGCGCATTTTCGCATACCAAACGAATACCAAATTGAATACAAACCAACTAATATGCATAATTTCCGAAATATTGTAACAGTTCCATATACTATAAATAAATAAACTTCAAACTAAACTAAAACCCTGCTAAATCATGTTTAATTTAATCTATAAAAAAAAACACGAAGGACAGTCAGTGGATTGAAACACAATGAACTTAATATCTTCAACCCATCCAAAAAAATAAATTGTCGAAAAAAAACTACTAAAAATAATTATTATTGACCGTTTCGAATTTTTTAACAATTTTCTTTTTATGAAAACCGTTACTTTTTTCTTTAGAGACCCCCGTAGATTTCCCCCTTTTAAAAATTCTCCACACCTTAAACTCTCCACAAGTTTAATTTAAAGCTTTCTTATCGATAGTTCTACGACAAAATCTCCAATCAGAACAGCTGTGCGTTAGACTTGCTTCTAATTAGCATAGGTAAACAGGTTTCTTTCACAAACTCATAAACTGTGTTACTTAATAAAAAGATTCCAATATTCTTATGGCTGCAGTTAGCCATTTAGCCAGCAAAGGCGTATATTTGGCACAATTATATAGGCCTTTTGGGTCCAACGGCTTAATCCGCACCATGGCAACAAATCCGCAGCCCTTGCTGTATTCCTATTGGCCCAGTTCGTGTTCGTGGAGAGTTCGCATAGCACTGGCAATTAAGAAGATAGATTATGAAATTAAACCCACTTCTTTGGTAAAGACAGCCAGCGAACATGCCTATACGGATGAGTACAAGGAAGTAAATCCCATGCAAAAGGTTCCTTCGTTGAAGATTGGTAAGAAATTGTAGGAATACAAATCTTAGCTATCTAATCACTTATGAGTTAACAGATGGTCATACGTTGTGCGACTCGGTGGCCATAATGCATTATTTGGATGAAACACGTCCTGAGCCTGCACTCCTGCCACAGGATCCGATAAAAAGGGCAAAAGTTCGGGAAATCGTGGAGTCAATTTGCTCTGGAGTTCAGCCTCTGCAGAATAGTGCAGTCCTCGGTCATATTGGCAAGGAGAAGAGTTTGGAATGGGCCCAACATTGGATTTCTCGAGGATTTCAAGGTCTGGAGAAGATCCTCTCCCAATCGGCTGGAAAGTTCTGTGTGGGAGATGAGCTTACGATGGCCGATATTTGCCTGGTTCCGCAGGTTCGCAATGCCAGGAGGTAAGAAAACGTTTGGGTTCCCGAAAATTCCTTTATAATCTCAATATTATTTTGTAGATACAAGGCTGACCTGAGCTCATATCCAACCATAGTTCGCTTGGATGAATACCTTCAAAAGCTGGATGTTTTTCAAACCACTCATCCCAGTAAGCAGCCTGACTGCCCACCAGAATTTGCCAAAAAATAATTCTAACTTGAGAATCTTTATTGCATTTAATCTTCATAATAAATAGTTTTCCCCAGTTCAATTTATTTTATACAAAAGTTTTGCCTGCTTTTGGGAGAACCCTGAAAATATTTCATGGAGAGTTTAACACAGAAATCTCCAATCAGAACAGCTGCTTATTGATTCGCTATCAATTAGTATACAGGTTTTTTCATCATTTTCATCAGAGGCTGTAATTGTGCTACCGGTCAAACAAAAACATATTTTCTTTTAATATGCGACCACTTAAATATTTGACCTACGAAGTAATGCAACTAGTGCAAATATCCAATTCTTCTGGATCGCTATTCTTAACCCGAAGTATGTCAACAAACTCCAAACCCATACTTTATTCTTACTGGTCGAGTTCGTGTGCTTGGAGAGTTCGCATAGCCTTGGCGATTAAAAAGATAGAGTACGAAATCAAACCGACTTCTTTGTTGAGGACAGTGAGCGGACATGCATATACCGATGAATATAGGAAAGTAAATCCCCTGCAAAAGGTTCCGTCCTTGAAGATTGGTAAGTAATAATAGCCATACTTATTTGCAATCTAAAGTTTAGATATCCAATAGATGGACTTACGCTGTGCGACTCGGTGGCTATAATGCACTACCTGGAGGAAACTCGTCCCCAACCTGCACTCCTGCCCCTAAAACCGGCAAACAGAGCAAAGGTCCGGGAGATTGTGGAGCTTATATGCTCGGGCATTCAGCCGCTGCAGAACATTCCGGTACAGGAACTTGTAGGCAAGGATCAGGGCCTAAAATGGGCCCAACATTGGATTACCCACGGATTTAAAGGTATGGAACAGGTGATCTCCCAATCGGCGGGTAAATTCTGTGTGGGCGATGAGCTTACCATGGCGGATCTCTGTCTTGTTCCACAGGTTCGAAACGCTATAAGGTGAGAGGCACATAACTATAGTTAGTTTTCATCTCTGAGACGAAGTTGAGAACGATTTCAAGAATGCTTGGGGACGATTTCAATAGTGTTCATGCTTGATAAACGAAATCAAGAATGATGTATTCTCAAAAAGCCAGATCAAGAATGCTTTTATTCTTGATTTCAAGAACGTTTGTGCTAAAAAAAGTGAGAAGACAAAATACTAAAATCAAGAAGATCCGTTCTTGGTTTTTCGTTCTCAAGTTTTCTCAGTGTATTGACTTCTCCGAGACCTCTACTAACTTTTACTATATTTTTTAGATTCAAAGTTGACCTGGGTCCATATCCAAATATAGTTCGATTGAACCAAGAGCTGCAACTGCTGAATGCCTTTAAAACCACTCATCCCAGTACGCAGCCCGATTGTCCCCCGGAATTTAGAAATAAATAAACCAATCCCTAACAGATTTCCATATAATTGATTTCCTATATTAAATGCCTTCCTATAACCCCACACCAAAACGAAGTAAAACTTCATTGAATTATAATATAATTTTTATTAGTTTTGTCATTTTTATATAATCGTTCTTAAATGTGTAATGTGTAATTCACGTAATTCATTTATGTACCGTCCTAACTTTGCATTTCTAATTTTCCATCCTGGATGCGGATCGTTATAATGTTTCTGTGTATGTAGTATGCACTTATTGGCTTTCCTGGTTGGATCGTGTCTCTCTGGTTGTGTCTGCGTGTGTATATATGTATTCAACAAATTTTACTATAAATACTATTACATACATACAGATGCGCCGTACGCATTACATAACATAACCATTACATTCGATATACATGCATGTTCTGTACTGTATCTATCATCTGTACCGATCGATCGCCTACCTAGCTTAGCTTTCATTTTATTGTTGGCCTTTTAGTTCGCCATTTTTAGTCGCCATCTGCATTATAATCTTCATTTCATTTTCTGTTCATTTTATTTTCATTTTTTGTTCGAGTATGATTCACTTGGGGTTATATAGCTATGCATATATATGTATGTAGAGAGGAGTAACTGTTTGCATACTTTTCGTTCGCAATTGTACAAGTTTTCTTATCGTTTCTTTAATTGCAAAAATTATGTTTTTCGATTTGTTAAAACTTGAATGAGCTACGTTAAAGAATCTTCTTGTAGGGATACCTTTTGATTTAATTGTTTAAAGATTTCACTAGACTATTTTTCTGTTACTTGTCGTACGTTTTGGTTTTTGGTTTTGGTTTTTCAAATCTATACCTCGTAAAATGAAATCGATAAATAAAGAAAACCTACTTTATAACGTGGTTATGTGTGATCTTTTCGAATGCTAAATGAATAAATCTATAAAATCGTTTGCTTTGCTACTTGATTTTTAAAAAACTTCAATTGATTATACTTTGTAAATAGAGCATAACTAAATATCGTTGATTTCAATTTGCATTTATTTTGTTTTCTTCAATTAGGACACTCGTGATCCTTTACTTGGGTTCATTTGCACTCAGAAAGGGATTTGGTTTGCTAAAATTTTATTTAAATATTTTGCTAATATGTATAAGTAAAACTTGTCTCTCTGCGCAATGTATTTTCGTTCTCATTACCGCTACTTAAACACCATTCGCTACATCCTCCACAAAAATCGCGCAAACCGAGTTGCTGGATCTGTTTGCCTCTCTATTTGTTTGGAGCCTCCATTTCTTTCGCACCTAGGTTAATATTACATTTGCTTAGCCTATATAGGCGGCACTGTATTTACATACATTTAAATACTCTATATACGTTAATTTGTTTACACCCTCCGACTTTATTTCTCATTTTGTCATTATTATTATCACAGTCAAATCATAAAAGATTTAGTACTTTTACTTTTGAATGAGTTTCCATGATGTTTGCTTTTGCTAATGTTCCGCGCTTTCGAATGACCATATCGATCAGTGTCAATATCGTTATTATTAATTCTGTCTATATAAACCTAATGAGAGATCGAAAAGTGTGGCTGCTGCTGCTGTTCGTAGTTCCTATAGTGTGCAACGGAATCTGACGTTGAGTGAAGAGTGCGCTAGTTTTTCTCAACCAGGGGACTCGGACTCTCTGCTCCCAATGGATCTGCTACGAAACTGCCAGAGGTCGGGGTCCCCAAAGTAATGCTATCGAATCAAGTGTTTTATTTGAATTTCTAATCGCTTGTATAAAATAATTCCTACATGTTGAGCGAAATGTTGGACTTTTGGGGTTCTGTTGCTGTTTGATATTGGCCAGATATCGTGAAGGCCGTAATTTCTATGTAACTTTTGTTTCTGTTCTCTAAGGTACTCACGTATGCAACTTCTTAGGTTTTTCGGTTGCGAAAGTGTTTAAGTGAAGAAGACTCGAAAATTCGACTTTTACTTGTTACGATCCGAAAGTTAATATTCATTTTCCGTTAACTATTTTGTACACTGAATAAGATTTCATTTATATGTGGTATTTCACTATGACTGTGATGCAGTTTTATGAATTATGACTTAGGCTAGGATCATTTAACGTCATTACGTCCACGGTTTTATCTCCAGCACGCCAAATACTGCACAGCAATATCTCGTGCATCGGCTTTCTTTTTTTCGATTTTCGATCATTGAGAGAGTTAAAATCTTTTTCGGCTACTTTACATATTTTTGATGTAGACCCATGTGTGCTAAATGAAACTGTGCCAAATGGAAACGCAGGTAAATAAATAGTTTTTGGGGTCGTGCCGAGCTGCACTGTTCGATTTATGATCGATTGATCTCTTCGGAAATCGGAAAGTGAGGCCCTGCACGGCCCTCATTTTTGGGGTACTGGGTTCTTTTGTTTCAATCGTTAAACCGCTTTTATTTGCTTGAATTAATTAATATTAATTTTATTTATCACACTAACGACTACTTTTTATACTTTTAGTGTATGTGTATATATATAGTATTTAATATTTTACTAATGTTGTATGCTTCTGTTGTGGTTGCTGAATGAACGTCTCTCCGTAGCCGGTTCGGCCAATCCGATAGATTTATACATACAATGCTATATGAGGTTATATAATGATTCAGTTAGTTCTCCGATCCGATTCGATTTTCCGACCTATCAATACCAGCAAGGTTCGCATCAAATCGCAAACATATCTTTCTCTGTTCTGTTCTGCCATGTACGTTTACGATTTCAATATATGTAGGTATACATACAGGTATATGCATATGGGGTGTGTACATTTATAATATAATGCATACGCATCGTAATGTTTAATTGTTCTAATAACAGTGTGGGTGGCAAAGCATAACAAATTATAGTTAAAGTTACTTTCATCTTTCGCTTTTTTCTTTTCGCTTTAAGTATGTAGTTATGTATGTATGTAATATATGTATGTACTATACGAGATTTGATTGATAAATTGAACTCCTCTTTACATATTTGTATTTTAGCAACATACGGATTTCGTTTCGAAGAGCAAGACACATTGCTACTTCGCCTTTATTTGTTTTTATTTCTTTAAATGTTCAAAGTCGAATTTGAATTACTTTAGATATTTATGTACTGTATGTATATAGTTAATAAAAGTTGCTTTTATGTTTACTACTTTAACACTAATAGACTCCGTCGTTGAAATAACAGCTGTATTACTTTTCTTTTTCCCTACCATCTATCCATCCATTCCTTCATTGTTATTGTTATAGATGCCTTTCAATATAATTAAATAGTACTGGTGAACAGAACTTAATGCGCACGTCCTTCCAAAGTTGTCTAGTTTCGTATGATTGCAGTGGATAGTTATAGTTGGATAGTTGGTGTTCGGGAGGGGGGTTGTGATAGCGGATGAGTTGCATGACAAATGTGCCTGATAAGTGGGTTCTTGTGGGCGCCAGTGGCAGTAGCTTTTGTATCGATGGTAAGCACAAAGCAATCATGCGACCGAAGGCTCTCTAATGGTGCAACTTGGATTTGGGGCAGACTGTGCTAGTAGCCACCCACATACCATTTTAAATTTTGTTGTATTTTTTCGCGAATGTGGGCCAGCGGGTTGCGTGAAGCTTCAATTTGTACAGCAAAAAACAAACGCATTCAAACAATAAAATCCAAACAAGCATAAACACTTCGAAAGCGGGACGCGGGTTATCTGAACCGATGGGATCTGGATCTGGATCTTGATCCGATCGGCTCGACTCCCCCGAGTATCTCCATTTTCCCATCTTCCCTTCTTCGTCACGCCCTCTCAGCCTCGGAGAGGTTCTACTATTGGATCACAAATCGGACATTTCTGAGAAACGGAGTTGGAATCGGCAAAGACTTTTTGCAGTGAATACGTATGCATATGGGGCATGGCATGGGGACTCTTATTCTTCTTTCGACTTTCTCGGACTGTCCATGCATCATCGATGAATTGAGAACTTGATTTCGGGGAGATTTCATTTGCTTTTCAAGTAAAGCTTTTCTTTTCTCTTAGTTGTCTCATTAAAAAATTAATTATTTCATAATTAATTTCAAGTATCGTTTGACTTCATTTTAATAAATATATTTTTGCTTTGTTTTGTTGTTTTTCTTTTCTTTTTTGTTGTTTTTAAATACATATCACAGATCCAGTACAAATATAAGTATATATATTTGTGTTTATTTCTTCTTCCTTCCTCTACTATGTTTAGATATCATATAAAACTCATACATTAAACATAACTCAGTGAGCACGCGCAAGTGATACTGATATTTAGTACGAATGTGTGAATGTATGGGAGAGGTGTAGTTGTGTCTCAGGTGTATCATGTGTGTGTGTGGGCGTATGTTCGTATGTGGGGGATTGTGAGTCTGTGTCGGTGATAGATACGACTATATAGTGCTTCGATTCTGATTCGGATTCGGATACGGATTTTGGGGGCTCTGAAATAGTGTTCGTTGCTCTCCCGATTTTGACGCAAGGCGAAGAAGACGAAATAAATGTTCGTTTGTTGTTGGATTGGTAAGTTGATTGGTTGACTGATTGGCTGATTGATTGATTGACTGGTTTTTGTGGGGTGGACGAAGGGAGATCTGTGTTTTTATGCTTGTTGTGATTTTGGCTGTTGTTGTTTGTTAAGCTACGTTTGTTGTTACTGTGGAATTCTGCTGTTCTTAGACGGTCTATTGCATTGTATGTACTTTCAAATTGTCTCGATCTCTGGATTTTTTCTTTATGATACTCATAAAATAATAGTTTCAAATAAAACACCAACATCGTTTTCCTTATTCCTTCCCCTTACGTTTTCGTTTGGTTTTCTTTTGGATGTTAATGCATAATTCAAGGCACACTAGCATTTACGACTGTACTTTCAAATTTACTCTCTTTTTTGTTTCCATATTTCTCTTAGGGTTGCTTATAGATCTTAATCCTTTTCGTTTTTTTATGTTATAGTTATCTTCTGTTTTTCATTTGATTTTGTATTTTAATCGTATTATATAAATATTGCACAAATAAGAACAATTGTAGGTAAGATTTAACAATAATAGCAAAAATTAATAAGAACAACTTTCAACTTAAATATATAGACTTAGCTTAGGATTGGTTGCCGTTGTGGTTTGTTTGTTACTTTTTATCTTTTCACTGATGAGCGATGAGCGTTTTCAGTGATTGAATCGAAATCGAATTCGAATTTGAAATAGAAATCGAACTGAGCAAAGAAGTGGTTGACTGATAGGCTGACTGGCTGTCTGATTGAGTTGATTTCGATTGGTCATGATAATGTTGTAGACTGATTTGGTTTGGGGATACGATTGGGTTAGTGGTGGTGCGGCGCTTGAGGGTGGTTGATGGGTGGGTATTTTTTATAATGGCGGTGGTGGCGTTGGTGGTGCGCAGAACGCTCCAAATTAAACAAGAAAATAAACGTTGCAGGTTTTTATTGTTGTTTTTTTAATCAAATTTTATTTAAATTTCGTTTCATCTTCGTTTTATTTATCGAAATGAAGTGTTAAACTAAATTATATGTGTAAAGAATAAAGTAAACAAGAAAAATTTCATTACAAGTAAGGCATTTCTCTCTCTGTAGGTGAGTGGTGTTCGTATGGGTACTTTTATCCTTGTGTGTGTGTTTATGAATAGGGAAATTTTAAATGTGATGTTAACATCTTTTTGTCTTTACACTGCGATTCTAAATAGATATGTACATATATTTGTTGTGAAATGTTTGTTGAAATAATGTTTAATAATTGCACAATACTTAAAATTAACAAGGGAAATTGTTTGGTGGATTGTTTGTTTTGACGTAGTATGAAGAAACCCCTAAATGAATGCTTTAATGTGAATATTTTACAAAGAAACGGCTCTTTTGCTAAGGTTTTTTATGTTTTCTTATTCTTTAGTTTTTAAGAACTTGTGATGCATTAGGTGAGAGAAAATGTAAGACTTAAAATTAGGATGTAAGAAACAAATGTGCTGGATTTACCAAAGAAATGTGGTTAACAAACGCAAAATGACAGAAAAAAAAGAGTAAGGAGTGCAGTTCTCAGACTGGCAACTAACAAATCGCAATGTGTTCTTCATAAATAAAATATATATAAAACAAAAGATATAAGGAGTAACAAATCGGGAGCACAAAATCAAAACCAAAAGGAGACTCACGTGCGCGCGCAACACATTAACACCACTCGATCCGATCTCGGATCGTCTCTAAAACTAAACAACATTATCATGATCAACATCAACTGTAGCGTTCCGAAAGTGTTCATATACAGAGGTCGGGGGCTGCAGAGTCTTAGGTGAATATATAGTTATATATATTAACAGCGATAAGCAATTATGGAGAGGGGGCAACAACAGAGAACAGATAAAAACAGAAAACTTTAACGAAATCACGAAAATGTCAACAAAGTCACTCTTTTTGTTTTTCTTCTTTTCAAAATGATTTTTTCACTAGCCTGTTGTGGTTGCAATAGCAAGTGTTCTTGTTGTTCTTTTTTTGTGTGGGGTGTAGTAAAATATTTACCTTATTTCGAGGGTAAGAATCACCTGAAGTTTTCACTGAAAACGCTCGCTCATTGTACATTTTTCTTTTTTTTTCTCGTTTTAGCTCAACATAATGCTAATAATTAGGTGTGTGGGCTGGGGGTGGTGTGTGTAAGTGGGTGGTGGCATATGTATATATATATATGTATGGGCATATGTGTGTAGATAATATATATAAACAAGACTCAACAACTGTGTACATATACATATGTATATATGCCCCATGTATCGTATCGTATAGCTTGGTCGGGAGTACCAAAAACAAAACACGCAACGCAAACATACGCATCACAAACAAACAAAACCCAAACGGTTTTCTTTCGCAACTAGTTTGTGTCTAACTGGCAATTGGCAATATAACTTGTTTTCAATTTTTTACGTTTACGTTTACGTTTCGAGCGTGACAAACAAATGCAACAATGTATAGTAGAGAGAAGGTAGTACATAGTATTTATACAAATTTTCACTATTTTTCATTTATCATTTAGCGTTTTCCCTTTCTTAAATGGCGTTATTTTAAAGCAAATCTCTTGAGGTGAAGGCCTTGGAACAGTTTACTCAAAAAGTGTATGGGGTTTGCAATACATAATTATTATTATTTTGGTTTCAATTGCTTAACTTTTAGCTGCACGCTTAACAATTGGTGTTTCCTTCTATGTTTTCCCTTCTCATTTTATTTTAGTTTTTAGTTTTGTATGTTCCTCTTAATTTTTTTTAAGAAATTAACAAATTTGAGAGGAAAAACTTGCTTGTGTGTGGTGTTTTTGTTTTTTTTTTTATGGGTAAGGGGTAGTTTGGTTGTTTGGTTGTTGTTGTTTTGCTTTTTGCCTGTTTGTTTGTTGTTCTGTTAAGATTGCTGGTTGGTTGCTTTACTCGGATTTTTATGGTTTTTGTTTTGTTTAATTCACAACAGTGGTTAATGGAATTTGTCGCGCCCTCTTTGTCTCCTCCTCGTTGATTTTCTGTTCAATTAGATATTGCGCTTTGGCAATGGCACTCGGCTGACCAGTTATGGTTACAATGCGATTTCTAGTGCCAGGTGCGAATATGCCCTTTTTGGAAATTTGCACATTTGCGCCAGAAACATGTTGAATTTCAACTAAACTACGACCGTTCGGACCTGGAATATTTGCATCAGATTTATGTTAAATATTTTTTAAAGATATTAAATGATAGTATGGATAAAATATGTGGGTATAATAGTGGGTATATATATTAGGTTTGGGCTTGTATATATAGCGGTGTAAGGTTGGTTAGGGAAAAACAAACCAAAGAACGAAAGACAATATGCTGCAGGGGGTCAGGGTGCCTATAACCTAATGACCTAACGACCTTACAACTGACACTGAGGTAAAATTAACTGCGCAACAACGAATGTGTGTAAATCCAACAATATAGTATTATTATATTTTGCGCATGGTTACCCAAGAATTGCACTAGCCAACATATATCGATAAAATTCGTTAGGCCTAAACAAAATGGAAAAGTGAATGTGTGTGTTTCTCAACCTACAACCTAACTGCTAAAACTACTACTTAGGCTAACGGATGCTGCTGTTCTGTGCGAATTTTCAGTGGGTTGGTGTTTTGGGAGGGGTATTTTGGGAATTCAGGGGTGGAAGAATATCATCGAAGGATCATTATGGATCAGATGCTGGCGGATGGGTGAGAGGCAAGAACTTGACTAGAAATTTCGCTATAAGTTTCAATGAATTTATTAGGAAAACCTGTTGAGAATGTCTAACGGAATGTTCCAAGGAATGTGTTGTATGGATTTCTCTCTCTGCGGAATGAGTCTGGAATGAAGTGCCTGTGTCTGGTTGGCTATATAACTCTATATCTCTAATGGCTTTAGGGCTAATCAAAACAGGGTAAGCGGATGGGGAATCCTCTGGCATTTTCACAGCTGCCAAGGGTCAAACGGGGGATATATTGGTAGGGATAAAGGGATAAGGGATAAGGGTTACGGGCAAAAAAGAAAATTGCGGTGTTGTTGGTTCTCTGTTGGTTGGTTTCTTGCAATTTAGTAGGGATAATAGTAAGGACGCGCACCTAGAATAGCGCCGATAATCACTTCCGGCACCTCGACGTTCTTCGAGTCCTTGGAGCTCAGGTCGCCCGGGGTGGGGCTCTTGCTGAGTCCGCCCAGCTGCGCCGTGGTCGCCGTTCCCGTGGCTGCCGTCAGCCCGAAGCTGTTGTTGTTCAGCGATACGGGCGTGGCGCCCGGCGCCGTGGCCGAGCCCAAATGGCGGAATGGATCGAATTGCACCGCGGCAGCGTCCAGTTGCGACTGCGTCGGCCGGCTGGCGGCAGCTGCAGCGGCCGCTGCGGCGGCATACTGCTCCAGATTCACCTGGCCGACGGCACCGAACACATTGCTGGCGGTGGCCGCGGATGCGGCGGCCGCAGTCTGCTGGTCCAGCGTCGTCACGCCGAGGAAGTTGCCCAGCGTCGAGTGGGCGCCGTTGGTGTGCGGCACGCCCACGCCCATTCCGAGGACGCCGTACTTGGCGAGGACGCCCAGAGCGGCGACAACGTCGTTCGTGACCGTCTCCGAGTAGCCAGAGCCGCGCATGGCAACCTGTGAGGGTTAGGAATGAAAAATATTAAGTATACGACATGTTAACATGTGATAAAATAGTGCACTTGTGCTACAAAGGTTCCTTTTGATTGATTTGGTTATAGACTACTAAACTACTCAATTTTATAAACAAGTTAAAGATAAATTAAAATTCCAATACACATAAGTTAAAAAAAAAATTATTAAATATAAAAAAATATAAATAAATAATAATAAACATATAAAATTAGTCAATTTTATAAAAAGTTAAAGATAACTTTAAATTCCAATACACATAAGTTTAAATAAAAATAAAAAAATAATTAAATATAAATAAATAATAATAAACAAAAAAAAAAAAAAAGTACAAATAATAAAATAGTAATTAGGATACTACAAAAATTTGATGTTAGAAATTAAGTAAGTGAGGAAAATTGTTTCAATATGTAAAAAAAAAGTTAAATTATAAGTGTGCACTTGTAGCGCTGGGATATAAAAAAAAATAAATTAAATATAATTAAAGATATTATCTAATAAATTAATAAATTATAAATAAAATAAATGAAATTCAAGATATTATCTAGGTATCTAGTTAAATTCATAACCACTAGATAGATCACCAAATCAAAAGGGACTTTTTCCAGGCCTAAATGCCTCCCCTTCTAACCTTAATATGCTCGAGCAGCTGCGTGGCCACCGCTAGATTGGGCGCCGGATTGGGGGAGCCCAGGTTGATGGACAAATTGATGCCGGTGCCGTTGACTAGCAGGCTGGCCGCCGAGTTCGCACCACCGATCGTGGTGCCCAGCGTGGAGTTGAGCGAGGCGGTGCTCGAGTTGATGGCATTCTGGTTGGTGGCATACGGGGAGCCGGTCGGATTGAAGTTGGCCACCGGGCCGCTGACGTCCGCGTAGGAGACATTCAGGCAGGTGCCCGACTGCGGGTCCTCGACGATCTTCGAGAGGATCATCTTGCAGGCGTTCTTGTTGTTCTCCTTGTCGCCGATAATGGTGATGCAGCGCTCCTGCAGCGAGACATCCTTGGGCTTCTGCGAGATCTGGACATAGGAGCCGCTCTCCTCCTTGATCTGTTTGATGAAGGCACCGCCCTTGCCGATGATCATGCCGGCCGTCGAGTTGGGCACCAGGATCTTGACCTGCTTGTCGCGCTCCTGGGTCTGTTTCGACTCGGCGTCGACGATCTTGTTGGTCAGGTCGGGCTTCTCGCGGATCTTGTCCATGATGAACTCTAGCACGACCATGATGGCCTCCGTGGAGCCGGTGATGAGGCACACGCGTTCAGTGGTGCCTTGAAAATAGGTTATAAATCAGTATAAATTAGGGATAGGGATTCTAGAGTGAGTCTCACCTGGGTAAAAGTCATGGGACTTGGACATCTTGACCCTAGCACCCGTGTCCTTCTGCAGCGAGGCGATCGTCTCGCCACCTTTGCCAATAATGGCCCCGGAGGCCACCGCGGGCACCAGTATTTTCATGTGATACGTTGTCTCGCCTGAAAGCAAAGAATCGAGAGGAGTTCACAGGGCGACCAATGGATTAGTCTCGAGAGATTTTCTAGGATTTGATTTCTTTTTTTTTTAATTTTTAATTTTTTTTTGTCAATAGATTAGGGGTTTGTTGTACAGGTTAGTTGTCTCTGTGCCCTTGGCTGTGGTTGTTGTTGCATACAATCTAGTTATCTGGTTATTGTTGTTGGTTAAATCTAGTTTCTAGCTCATTCGGCAGGTTACAAATTAAAAATAATAACAGCATTTCAGCGTCGATCGTTTGTTCGTTCGGCTGGACGCTCGCAACGAGGGACGTTCGTAAAGTTCGGCTTGAACTCGGTTAGTTTGGTTATAGTTTTTCAGATGGATCGACTGGGATCTCGACTTGGTTTTAGTGGTTTAGCATGGTTTAATGCTGTGTGGGCATGGATTGGTTATGGTGGTGCAGGCATATGGTGTTCGACTGTGGTCTGTTTCTGTTTTTTACTGGGTTTCTGGGTTTTTTTCTGGTGGTGGGCAAGCCATGAGGGAGATATGCGCTCGAGATGAGATGGAACAGACAATGCTGGCGACACACGAAACACATGAAAGACCGTTTACTTCTCCTCCGAAGGTCGTTGGATGGCTTGGCCTGGCCAAAATATATAAAAAAAAAATAAACAAAAACGAGAGCCCCGCGCAAATTTCCATCTACTGTCCGCTTGGGCAACCCACAGAAAAGCAAAACGAAATAAATACGAAAAATGTAAGTCAAAGCAAAAGTCGGTCAAAGGGTCGAAGGTTAATGTGCTCGGTTGTCAGTGGGGTCACACAATCGGTAGTTTCATTCGTAAGCAGTCCCAAAGTCAAGCTCAAAAGCGCGGAAAACAGCGATCTAGCTACAGAGATACAAAGAAACGATAGAGCTACGCTTTTTATTTTTTGTTTTTAGTCGGTATTAATCTTGAATTAGTCGATCGTTTGGCTAGACAAAGATGGATTTAATGGTATTTAATGAAAGTGTGACAAAGCTTACCATGATGAATATGATTATTGTTATTATTTTCAATTTCAACCTCAATTCCAGAACAAACTGACTCACCTGAAATTAAAAGAAAAGAGAAGACGGAAACAATGATTATAAGTTGGGATTTGAAGGCGCCACCTATGGGCGGTGCACTATATATGCATTGTATACAGCTAGCTGATGAGCGGAATGTGGCGACTCAGGGGTGTATGCATGAATGGATGCATCCCTGCGGATGAATGATATCATCTGCGTCACACAGCCTCAAGTCGAGACAACCGAGCGTAGTAAACAAACAAATTTCAATTAATAAAATGTGTCAAGCGGAGACGCTCTATTGCACAACACAACGGAATGGAATGGAATGGATTGGATGGGAAAATGGTATGGCATAGAATGATCTAAGCGCGTTGCACCTGCAACTTGGCGACTTGAGGGGCAGCCCAAGACTTTGCCGCTGCCACTTGGCACTCGGTTTGTTTAAATTTAGCCTCTACTTTATACCCCCTATCACCATCCTTTCCTTTCCCCCAGCGGAATGGGTGAAATGTGTGCCATACGTTGACGTCGTCGTCTTGGTCTCGTTGCCACTCAGCGGCAGAGTGTCCTTCAAAAGTATTTCTCTAATTAGATACAGCGAACATGCTACATACACGCGCATCTGCCACGATGCACTGACATTGCCGAGGGGTTGTGGGTTCGGGGTTTGTAGCGAATATTGGACCATTTGCCCTGCTTTACATGCATGTGTGAAAATGCAATTTGCTAAGAATTCGCAATGTGCAACGAAAGCGAATTGAGCCCACATATTTAGCACCATGCTGGCCAATTTCCGCCGCTGAAATAATTGAAAGTGCTGCGGATGCATCTGTCAGTTATCTATCATTTATCCGTATGAATAGAGTGAAATTCCTTAAGTTCCCCAATATGCATAAACAATAAATTTGTGCGGCTATGGAAATACCTCGTAAATAAAGTAATATGCAGGAAAAGAAAACAAACAACAACAGAGCCATTTGCTTAGCGGTTTATGGGCCACAGAGGACTGGCCAAGAAGCCTGCGAAGCTGCGTTTGCCGTTGACACTGTGCAGCAGCTTAAATTATGTGACTGTCATAAATAACACTTGCAGCACATTGGCCAGAGACCGCCCATCGAGTTGCAGGGGGGCGTCGACTGGGATTGGGAGCTTGCAGGATGGCAGCAGGCAGACTGGAGACTAATTTCGTATGCATTGTGTGCAGGATTGGACGGGAAACTAGGCTAACGACAAGCTGGCACACAGCTACCGTCCTATATGCCATACTATGCCATCCCCCCATTCCGACGACCCCAAACCACAATAAATGCCATGGAGCAATCTGCAACACGCAAATTGTTAAAGCAAAGCCCGAGCAGCAAGTGCTTGTCGCGTACCACGCGACGTATGCGTAATGCGGGGACATGTGGCACGCGATTCAACGATTGGATCCTGCAAGGGACAACTTCGTTTACTTCCCACCATCAGGAAGTGCTCAAAGCGGTTTAAAAACAAAAAAAGCGTTTAAATTAAATTTCGATTTCTAGAGATATTTTAAAAGCATCAGATTAAATATTGACAAAAGATCAGATTAATATGAGCAGGTTAATTTAATACTTTTTAAAAATCAAGTTATTCATATAATATTGATATGAATAAAAATTATGTTTATTTTTAAACATTTAATTTAGTGATAAAATATCAATTTGATATGTTTGAATCATAAATTGGTCCTAAATCATATCGGCTTTTTAATTAAATTTTAATTTTATTTTTTTACTATCCTAGCACAACAAGCGTGAAACTTATTTTTACTGCGCTAGTTGTTGATATGAAATAAGGATGAAATAACCCTTTTTCATATCGTAGTTATTAAGAAATTCGTAAGCATTAAAATACACAATATTCCAACTTTATTATTATTTAATCAACATTTGCAAAAATATACTTCTCAATGCAAAGACATCTACAATTTCTTTAGTTCTTTTATTTAAGGCTTGTAGTATTTTTAGAGCCTATGATTTTCTTATGTTTTTTGATTATACCAGGGATCGCACGTAAGAATTACTTTTTTAAAAAAATTGACAAATAAGTCTTATTTTTCAATTTTTATTATAAAAGTTGACAAATAACTCTTATGCTTCAATTTTGTTGATTTTTATAATAAAAATTGAAGCATAAGAGTTATTTGTCAACTTTTATAATAAAATAAAGATTGAATTGAAATAACTCTTGAACTGTGGGGTACATTGGTTTAAAATTTATATATGTATAATCTACGCTTTAATACCTTTCTGTTGATATGTCCCCAACATATTTTTTATAATAATAATATTTTTTACATCATCAAAAATATTTTGGGGACATATGGCATATCAACAGAAAGGTATTAAAGCGTAGATTATACATATATAAATTTTAAACCAATGTACCCCACAGTTCAAGAGTTATTTCAATTCAATTTTATTATAAAAGTTGACAAATATTTGTTGATTTTTATAATAAAAATTGGAGCATAAGAGTTATTTGTCAACTTTTATAATAAAAATTGAAAAATAAGACTTATTTGTCAATTTTTTTAAAAAAGTAATTCTTACTTGCGATCCCTGGATTATACTTGCATATTGTAAGTATAAATCATATTTTCAATTTCGCTTCAATTGACATTTCTGGTAATCTAAACAAAACAACATTTCGAGTGGTTCTCCCTTATAAACAGACAGTGTCGCAAAATCCGAGCGTAAGTCTTTATGCAACACTCGTGAATCACTAGGGCATGCTGAAGGAAAGTCGTGTATACATAAGACATAATATTTTAGAGGCACATTCAAAATTGAAATGGACGCCCACATTAAAGCGTACGATTAGCATATGAGATTTTTATATAGTCGATTGTGGCTGTTTTTTTTTGGCGGCTGGCTGTTGTTTCTGTTTTTGCTGCTTAGTTTTTTATGAGTGTTTGTTGATTTGGTTTTACTTTGTGTATCGGAATGTGTGCTGGATGTTGGTGATGTTTGGATTATTTTCTTTCAAAACTTTCAACGCAATGTTAATGGATAATTCATTTATAGCTTGTGGCTTCTTGTTCGGCGTTCGGTTCGTTTGACATTTGGGCGTTCTTGTTTTTTCTATTTAATTCTGTATTTTTTTTTTCAAGTTGCTGGCGGCATTTAGAATGAGGCGACGTGGTGATTGATGCTGTTGTTGGCTGGTTGGTTGGTTGGTTGTAGCGAGCTCGATAGTTATATAGATATAGAGAAGTGGTGTTCATTTTATGTATGGTGTAGTAGAGGAAGTTGTGCGCAACTTTTGATTTGATAGTTCTATGCTGATGTTGATTGCATTTGGTTCTTGAAATCAGACTCACCGTAACACCAGCAGGAGTTAGTCTTATAGTTGCCCAGCTGCAGTTGCTGTTGGCCGTTGGCACCCGTCGATGTTGCTGCTGCTGCCGCTGTTGCAGAGCCACCCGATGTTGCAGGCGGCGTCTGGACACCTGGCGTGACATTCGGCGAACCATTCTCACTCAGGGGCGACTGATCCATCTGATGAGGCGGAACATGACTGGGATTAGCCGGGATTTCTTGCTGTGTATAGCTATGAACGGCTAATGAGTATGCAGCGTTGCTATGATTGCTGTGTCTGCTGTTGTTGCTGATGTTGCTTATGTTGCTGATATTGCCGATGTTGCTGATGTTGCTGCTGCTGCTGCCGCTGCTGCTGTTGCTGCTGCTGCCGCTGGCCAGCGAATGTGTTGATGAGGGCGACGACGTGGTTGTGGAATGTCGTGGCTGATAGTTACAAGCTAATTGCTGCATATGTGAGGGCTTTGATTGCTGATATTGATATGTGAGATGTTCGATTTCGCTTTCTGGTTCTTGTTCTTGTTGCTGCTGTTGATGTTGCTGCTGCAGCTGCTGCTGTAGGTAATCAAAGCCAAACTGCTGAATCAGCTGCTCGGCCGCCCTGTCCATGGCCGCCTTCATAATACTCTCCATAATATTGCCTTGGAATTGTTGCCGTTCCCGTTCAGTCTTCGGTTTGCTTGCGACGGAATTGATTCTGCCTTGAATCGATTGTACTCGTTCCTTATTCGTTATTTATTTGAAATTTTTGTATTTTGTAAATTGTATTTTTAGTTTTTTAGATTTCTGCTCTGTTTTGATTTAACCTACGCGCCGTTTTCCAATCATTAAACTTGTTCAATAAACGAAAGAAAAAGAAATGGAAAATTTGTTTAAATTAAGCTGGCTTTTCATAGGTTTTTTGATTGCTTCTGATCTGTGATCGACGAGCGGGAGAGAGATGGAGCATTTGCAAGGACCTTCATTCCGTCTCTCTCCCCCTCGCACTTCATCGATAGCTGAGTTGCATTTTCATTATCGATACATCGAGTTTAATGGCAGTTTGTAAGGCTTGTGCATTTGTTGCTTTTCTTTTTTTTTTTTGGTTTGATTTGATTTGTTTGGGATAATGCTCTTCATGATGATGCGGTGGTTGTAAGTTAACGTATATAGAGATATAGATCGGGTTGATAGAGTGGTGACTTCGCAGTGGTTTAGTAGGTCGCTCGACTTCCGGATGACTTGAATTAATTCGATTTGATTCGATAGCTGAGTAGCTGATTAGCTGACGTTGGATATTGATTAGATATATTGATATTGGTGTTCTTGGATGGCGATTTTAGTGTTGTTCTGTTGGTGCGTTTGCCATTTGGCCTGTTCATTTTGGTTTCTTGATGGTTTCTGGTTAGATAGTTTGTACGATAACAACAACAACAATTACGATGCGACTGGTATATATAGTTTATAAAGATATATATATAGAGAAGAAGGCGGAGTGAGAAACAGACAGAGACAGAGAAAGCGGCAGCAGCAAGCTTCAGCAAAGGTATTGATTTTCGATTGATTGCTTGTTGTCGATTGGATGATTTGACATTGCGATGGGCGGCCTCTGTCTTGGATGGATATCGATAACTTATCCCTCGCATCGGAACGATAATACTTGAGATACATATTCGCTTACAGACATAGAGGCATTGAGAGAGTAGTAGGATG